CTCATACGGGAAGTGCAAAATCAAATGCTGCATCGGATTGAAGAAGCCAGGTGGAAAGATCTTCTCCAACTTATAGAGCAACACATGTGCCATTCTTTCCAAGTTAGCAATCATGGTCCAAGATAACTCCTTGGCACAAAGCTGGCGAAAGAAATAGCTCAACTCTGCCAGCACTAGCCAGACATGCTTAGGGACATAGCCTCAAACCATCACCAGAAGAAGCTGCTCAATCCATATGTGGTAGTCATGACTCTTCATCCCTAAGACTCACATAGTACATAAGTTCACTCCCCTCCTCAGATTAGCTGCATACCCATCAGGGAACATTAACGTTTGGATCCATTCTAGTACTTCCCTCCTTTGTGGCTTACTCAAGACAAAATCGGCCTTAGGCCTTCTCCACGTCTTGCCGCGACTAGGAGGCTACATATGTTGGTTTGGTGTATCGCATAATGTTGCCAAATCCACTCTAGCCTTAACGTTGTCCTTTGACTTGTCAGGAATGTCCATGATTGTTGCCCAAAGTGCCTCGGTGACATTCTTTTCAGTGTGCATTACATCAATGTTGTGTGGAAGGAGAAGGTCATCAAAATAGGGGAGCCGAGTCAAGCCCGACTTATGAGTCCACATATGTTGCTCACCATATCCCACAAAACCACCTTCTGGATTGACCACGAGACCATCTATCTGTTCACGAACCACGACACCAGTCATTATCGGTGGTGCAGGGTCTGTCACTACGACACCTTTCATAAAGTTCTTGATGTCTCATCTGAATGCATGGTCAAGAGGGAGGAATTGCCGATGTTTGTCGAACGATGAATACTTGCCATCCTTCTGCAACCAAATGAACCTCAGACCTTCCTTGCATACTGGGCATGGGAACTTTCTGTGAACACACCAGGTGCAGAATATCCCATACGCCAGGAAGTCATGTAGGGAGTAGTGGTACCAAACATGCATTTTGAAGTTTTTCTTTGTAGCTCGGTCATATGTCCATACCCCTTCCTCCCAAGCACGGACCAATTCATCAATCACAGGCTCTATGAACACACCCATGTTATTCCCTGGGTGTCTAGGAATTATCAACGACAAGAATACGTTCTGTGGTTGAAAGCATATGCCAGGGGGGAGATTGAGGGGGATAACGAACACGGGCCAACATGTGTATGGGGCAGCCATCATTCCATAAGGATTGAACCCATCTATTGCTAGTGCAACACGTACATTACGAGCCTCTTTAGCTTTCTCATGATGAATGCCATCAAAGTGGGTCCATGCTTCACCATCGGATGCATGTACCATCCTATCAGGATTGTATCGTTTGCCATTTTTGTGCCATGTCATCTGTTTTGTGGATTCCTCGGTCATGTATAGCCGTTTGATCCTCGATATGAACGGAAGGTGCCATATGATTGTCACGGGAATGTCGAGCTGCCTCTTCTGGCCATCACTAGAATCTACCTCTAGGAACCTAGAGGATTTACACTTTGGACAGTACTTTGCTTCCATGTATTCTTTCCTAAATAGGACGCACCCCTTCGGGCAAGCATGTATCTGCTCATACGACATCTTAAGTGCACGAAGGAGTTTCTGTGACTCGTGCATGCTCTTTGGCAGAAGGTGACCCTCTGGAAGCAGGCCGCCAATAACCGTCAACATACCATCGAAGGCGTCTCGACTCAGGCTATACTAGGACTTTCACGCCATTATGCGTCCAATGGCATCCAGTTGAGAAACCTTTGTCTGGCCGTGAAGGGGTTTCTGTGCCGCGGCAAACATGTCATAGAACACCTTTGCGGTTGCCTCTGGCTCCTCCTCCGTACGTCCTTCAGCGAACTATGCCTCATGATAGTCATTTAACATGTCTGCTACCCCGGCATCAGCATCATAATCCTTGACACGTGGTCTCACCACCTCCTCTCTCATATGATCGGCTTCACCATGGTAGACCCACCGGGTATAGTCTGCTGTAAATCCATTCTTCCAAAGATGTTCCCTCATGACCTTCTTCATTTGTCTTTTCCTGTTTGCACATTTGCTACAGGGACAGCAAATTTTACTCGCTCCTTTAGCAGCCACACCAAATGTCTGTTCCAAGAAAGCATCGGTCTTGTCGATCCATTCATTGGTGACCTCACTCTGACTTGCGCGGCCCGTGTACATCCACTCATGGTCCTCCATCCTCTAACATATATAGCGGTGAGTAATATAAATATCAATTGCATCTACACGATGTTCCTACTATCTAATAGGTGAGGATAGGTCCTAATCCCATGCGAGGATCCATAGATGAGGTTAGTTTCCATGCTCTACTCCTATCCGAGACAGAATTTCGGCAGCACCTCCCCGTTGTTCTTCAAATACACGTCCTGTCCTGTCAGGGAGAGTGTGTATCCGGAGAACAACAGGGAGATGATGCCGAAACTCTGTCTTGGATCGGAGTAGACCATGGAAAGTAACCCCACCTATGCATCCACGGGCTGTCCAAAAAACGTGGACAATTCGAAATAGATATGGTTTTAGATATGGAAATATCTGCATATTTCCAACCGTATCTCTTTCGAACAGGAGACGCCTAACTGTGTTACGTGATCTATGACCATGATACGGAAAGAGGGGTTATACCTAGGGTGGTGGTGGAGTAAGGCTAGCGGGGCCATGGCGGGTCGATGTAGTGGCAAGGCGACGCGGTGCAGGCAGACCCGTAGCGGCGAGGAAGGCGACCGGGGTCGCCAAGGTACTCTGGCTCCGCTCCGACGGGCTCTTCTCTGCAAAAAAAAGAAACATAAAACTGTCAATACAAAATTTTGGCAGCACCTCCCCTGCACGATGAGGTTTCCAAAACCTGCAGGAAAACCAACGGCACACTAGCCGACATGCACATATACATGAACGGCATGATGGCCGACATGCACAAGATTATATCCAACCACATATATATAACAATGTCAGAACCACTCCTACGACTACCCCCACTGCTACTCTACCACTACTACTACCGCAACTACTAGTAATACTACGACGACGACGATGGTAGGGCATACCTAGTGGGCATCGTAGGGCGACGGTGGTGAAGGGGCCAGGGCACCGGTAGATAAGGCGACGACTGGGGAAGCATCGGGACGTGGCAACGGCGGTCGGGGCACCTCCTCCTCCTCCTTCTTCCTCCTTCCTCCTCCTTCCTCCTCCTTCTCTTCCTCCTTCTTCCTCCTCTCATCCTCTCCTCCTCCTCTCTTTCTCCTCCACCTCCGGCGGCGCGGCGCGGGGGGCGTCGCGGGCGCGGGCTGCATTTAGCGTGCGTGTGTGCGGTGTGTGTGGGCCGGCGGGGTTAAATCCCCCCTTTGCCGAGTGCCCCCGATCTGGCACTCGGCAAAGTATTTTTTTTTATATTTTTTAATTCTTTGCGGAGTGCCACCTGGCCTGGCACTCGGCAAAGAGGGTTTTTTTTAAAAAAAATTTAAAATTCTTTCCCGAGTGTCGGCCGTCCTGGCACTCGGCAAAGTGGTTCTTTTGCCGAGCACCAAACGCAGACACTCAGCAAACCATTTTTATTTTTTTTCTTCGTGCCCCCAAACTTTTTCTGTTGTTCTCATACAATACCTGGTATTCCATGTTCCAATGTAGCACATTTCTCGGACTTTTTCTATATTTTTTAATTTATTTCATTTAATTGAATTTTCTTGGATAATTCAAATTATAACTGCTAGTCATTCAAATAATGAAAAAAATAAATGGGAAAATGATATTCATGTTATTTAGTATAATGTGAGGCCGTATCCAGGAACAGACCACCAATTTCGAACATCTTGTTCACGAAACATGACCACGAACTTACGGTCGAGTTGTTTTTAAATTCTATAAAAAGCAAACAAAGACCAAAAATCTTGAAACTTGTCGAGATGTCATGATATCATATGTGGAGGCTGTGATAAAAAATTGAGGAGGTTTCGCGCAAGTTGTCACGTACGATGCTTACCACCTCGTCGCCCTGTTCACGAAATCATGAAACTTCTTCGGAGATTCTTCGGTTTGCAAGCATCGTACGTGACAGCTTGCGCGAAACCTTCTCAAATTTTTATCACAGCCTCCACATATGATATCATGACATCTTGATAAGTTTCATGATTTTCGGACTTCGTTTGCTTTTTATAGAATTTAAAAACAACTCGACCGCAAGTTCGTAGTCATGTTTCGTCAACAAGATGTTCGAAATTGGTGATCTGTTTCTGGATACGGCCTCACATTATACTAAATAACATGAATATCATTTTTCCATTAATTTTTTTTCATTATTCGAATGACTAGCGGTTATAATTTGAATTATCCAAGAAAATTCAATTAAATGAAATAAATTAAAGAAATATAGAAAAAGTCCGAGAAATGTGCCACATTGGAAAATGGAGTACCAGGTATTGTATGAGGACTGCAGAAAAAGTTTGGTGGTCAAAAGTGAAAAAAAAATATAGTTTGTCGAGTGTCAAAAAATGACACTCGGCAAATCACCGCTTTGTCGAGTGTCAGGAGAAAACACTCGGCAAAGGGTTAACGGCGGCGGTCCGACACTCGGCAAACCTGGTCTTTGCCGAGTGTTAAACCACCTTTTTGCCGAGTACCAGTTGTTTGCCAAGTGGTTTCTCTCTGGCACTCGACAAATAGCCTCTTTGTCGAGCGACCGATAAAAAGCACTCGGCAAAGCCTAAGGACACTCGGCAAAGAAGCTGTCTCCGATAGTGCCGCATGGAGCAGAACAAGGAAGAGAGTCTTGGTGGGAGAGGAGCCGGAGATGAGCTTAAGCGAGGTGAGGGCCGTCAGCAAAGCTGTAGAAGCACGTCACGCACAGCGAGCGCCACCAGCAGATATCTACCAGAGCGAGCGACGAGCACATGGCCACATGCATGCAAAGAGTCGTCGTCAGAGGCCATGCTCCATGCAATTAAGGCGCGCCGGCGCCGTGATGACAATTGACAAATATCATTTGCGCGCTAGTTAGCTACTACTCACATGAGCGCCGGCGAGTCGTTGAACTTGGCGGGGCGGGAGAGGAGGAGCCCCGGGTTCTGCGGGACCGGGACGAGCGCCGTCTGCTTGGCGGTGGCCAGCACGACGAGCCCCGCGAGCGTCACCGCGAACAGGAGCGCCCTCAGGGCCAGGTCGGCGCCGGAGAAGCTGCTTCTGCGCGCCGCCGGAGGCGGGGACGGCGCCTGCTTGCCGGACTCCGTCGTCGTGGCGACGTCCAGTCCACGGTGGCCATGGCTGATGGCTCTCTGGCTCAGAGGCAGCTAGTTAGCTAAATTAGAGAAGCTGCAGGTGCTACTAGCCGGCAGGCGTACGTCGATCGGGGCGTGGCTAGCTGTGGTGTGTTGCGGCACGGCGGCTCTAGATGTTGGCGCTATATAGCCGGGCGGCCGGGGTTGGTTGGCACGTACAGCCGTACATGTACACACTGGACGGCGTGGCAGCATGCCACGGCGGCACGTGAGAACGCGACGTCAACTTGTCTGATACGGGAGCAGCAGCCAGCCCAGCTAGGGCCCAGCAGGTAGGGCGCCGGAAGTCCTCTAGGTAGTCTGGGACGAATTTTGTATGTCCACATTAGCTGGAGCTTTGATTTGATTAATTAGTCTCTATCAGCCTTAGCTTCCTCTGACTAGTGATCGAGTGGAGTGCTACGCCATCCTCTGATCCGACGATAGATCATACTATCAGTATACAGTACGTGGAAGATGAGGGACGGATTTTAGACATCGCAAAAAGCAGGCAACCTAGCTCGCGGCCCTTGTTGTATACCACGTCGTTTTCGAGTGCTTTGTTCACACTCGACAAAGTCAAGCAACCTTCTCGTATGATGCCCACATCTACGTATAGGTATGTGTATATATATCTTGTGCACTCAGAAACGGCACCGGAAAACTTGTGTTAGAATAGAAGGTTCGGCTAGCCCAGCTCGCCATTTCCCATGGACCTTAGCTAGTCACGGGGGGCCGGCCATGCCAGGGGTGGTTGGCCGATGGAATAATGGAAGAAGAAAACAAATTTAGGGCATGCTTGTTTTATTTTTTCTGTTTTTATAACTAAGGTGGTTTCTGATAGCTCTTTAATCTATATCTCTTGAAAAAAACAAACCTCACTAACTCCGCATCTATGCATGCTAAGCTATCCATGTTTCATACCTCGCTACGTGCCACATCAATCCCTAATAAGCGTGATGCCATCTTTCACTAAGTACAATTACATTTCAGTCTATCTATCTCTCTATACTAAAAGGCACCGGTTCTAAACTTACCTTAAACTACCCCGTGAAGTGTCCCCGCAGTCATGACCTTTCCTCCATGCACCAAATAAACTATACCCAGGAAAGCAACTCATTACAAACAAACGGACGAGATCTACTCTAAACTCACCTTTCAGTTACGTACTCACTCTAATCCAACGGACGATGTTCTTCGGATCATACCACAACGCTTCGTCACTCATCCCATCCCGTGACTCAGAGACGCATGCGCGACTCCTCCTCTCCCGTGACCCAAATCCTCCCCTCGCCTGCCCCATCGCACAGGCACCCCACTCCTACCCGGCGCGCCTCCCAAGCCCTCAATCATCGTCGCCCACACCGCTCCACGCGCCGTCCCTGTGGTGGAAACAGCGGCGGCCGGTCGGCTCGCCCCCACGCTCATCGGTGGCCCATGGCCAGCAGGTGCCCGCATCCGGGCCCCACATAGTTCGTGTAATACCTCCGGTGCTACGATCTTACTTAGTACTTAGATTAAGACCTAAAAGAAATTAACAAAATATTTTTTTGGGTGTTAAAATTTTTAAAACTCACAAGAAAGGATAATTAAATTGTAGGTCCCATTTCTATGAGAAAAGAAGCGAACGGGATATTGCGAGTTAGTTCAATTAACGTGTAAACATGCTTATAAAATTCTAATAAGAAAAATAGGATAAGATGTTTTAGATGTTCGACATGAAAAACGATTTCTGTAAATAAAAGTGTGATATAGCTTATAATTAGAAAGTGCCATTTTTGAAGAATTTTAATGTGCAAAATACTTAAAATAGTGCTTTAATATTTTGTTCCCACAAGTTAGTACGAAGTATGGACTAGGTCATGACATGTTGTCTTGTTGGAATTGACGAAGTTCCGACCTTTTAAAAGGAATTCAATCAAATGTGTTAATGATTGTTTAGTTCGAGCGGGATTCTCGTCCTTTCTAAGTCTGTAACGAAGATCGATGATGCCATTTCGATATTTAAATTCCAACAAAAATGATTAAGCAATTTTTATATGTTGGAGCACTTTTGGTTGTCCCAAGGTGAGCACTTGAGCATAGTGTAGGTTATAATCGCGTTAGGTGTTGCGATACTTTCGCATAAATTATTCAAACTTCGCTAAGAACGCGCTGCGAATTACAATCTGGTGCTCGTTCACGAACCAGCGTTCAACACTCGCTCACAGCAGCTCATTTCACCTACCTCGCGGGCCCCGCTCTCGTCCTTTCTGCGCTGTTGCACCCCTCCCGTCCTGTCCTACAATGCACTAAGGAGGGCGTTGAGCTTGCCACGCACTGTCCCATCTCTCACTCCCCTGCTTTCTCTCGCCTCTCTCGCTCGACCACCACCATGGCGCCACCACCGGCTAGGGCTCTTCCCGTCGTTGCGCTCCCGGTCGTCCTTGCTGCTCGCTTCTGCTTTCGTCCCTCCCGTGCTCGATGGCTCGCACCACACTTCGCTCGCCTCTCCTCTCCGCCCTCACGTGCACACCAGTAGTCTCGCCACTGAACCGCCGCCGTTTCCTCGGGCCGCCGGTTCGCCGCTATGGTGGCCCACCCGTGCAGCCGGATGGCCTCGGGTCATTTTCGGTCGGCCGCCGGGATGACCGCGGGCCACTACCGGTCACCGACTGCAAGACTCCGAGCCGCCACCGCTTCTCTCCTCTCGTCACCGACCTCCGCCCGCTGCTCCGGCCCTCCTTGTTGCGCCTTCCCGCCACCATAGCCGAGCCGCCATTGTTAGCGCCATACTGCTGCGCCGCCCACCATGCGACCGCGGTAGGTTGGCCCCACCGGCCGCACCAGCACCAGTGTTGCCGCCGCCAGCGTCGGGACCAGGGCGCTTTCACCGCCAGCGCGCCCGCCCTCACCGCTGCCGCGCCTCATCCACCGTGTCGAATTGGCCATGCCCCGATGCTCCCCTGCCCTCGGCTCTACTTCAAGGTGAAGAGAAGGACCTCGGGTGAGATCAAAAAAATTTCCAGGGTTCCCAATGCAAAACCATGACTCACATGAATAGTATTCTTGTACTGCGGGTTTTTTTCGAGAAAGTTCTGGGGTGGTTTTGCAAAAGTGCATGGAGAGCGGGGGTCTGCTGGGCCACTTGGACCGTTGGTCGGCGCCTTGACAGCTTGGGCCTTTACCCCACGTGTCTGCCAGACCCTGACGCGGCGCCGCCGGTGGGTCACCGGTCTCCGCCATGGGCACGTCACGTAAGCGCCTCTGCTCAGCGCGTGCACAGGGGCCTTTCCTGTGTTGGCCCAAGCACTAGGCCAATTTAGGTTTTTCCTTTTTAGGAGGAGATATAAATAGATTGTTAGTTTTATTTCTGAGTGGATCTCTGGTAAGTATTATAAAATCACACTGATATCCAAAAATAGTGAAACCAATTTTGTTAGGATCCTCAAATCATGATCTATCTGTTAGCGTAATTGGTTCTTCTAGTTTTAAAATATTTTAGGGTTGCTCTAATTATTTGAAAATGTTTAATATTGTTAAAATGTGAACTTGTGGGAATTTTTGTGAGAAAATGGTTATAGTGTCGACTTTGAAAATTTTACAGTAAATTCATAATATTATTAGCTGCTCACTATATTTTTTATAGCACCAGAATAATTATTTTGCTAGATAGATAATGATGCCTATTTCGAATAAATATTAAATCGATAGAATGGAATAAAAAAACAACTTGAATTTGTATAACTAAAACACTCATTGGGAAATAACATCTTGTTCGACAACATGGATACGTGGCCTAGTATGTTAGTCACTAGAGCTAGCTCGTTAGCTTGAGAGGCGTAATCATATTTTAAGGGTTGCGATTGCCATTGATTATTTACGTCCCTGCATTGCACCCACGTATTTCATGATAGGAGCGATGTTGGATCGCGGAGTCATCGGGAGTAACGAAAGCAGATGGTGCCTTGATGATCGTGCCACCATGATGGAATGCTAACTTTTGGTTATATCTTACCAAGGTAAGTCCTGGTGCATAACCCCTATTATTTTACACTTTATTTTATGCTTGTGTATTAAGTTTAAGAGTTGAATGAAAAACCACTTGCATATATATATATATATATATATATATATATATATATATATATATATATATATATATATCCTTATCCGATGAGTTTTACTAGTATGATAGGATCGTGTATATTGCTATGCTATAGGACTCCGGTAGAAGTCGAGTGGTTGCCTGTCACTCACGAGAGATAGGAAAGATATTATTGTTGTTATTATATTACTATCACATAGAAAATATATGAATGATAAATGGGAGACCGGGCGAAATGGTACTTTGGATCTGGACTTGGTTTGGCATTCGAACGAGGCTCGGGTTGCGCTTGTTCCGCCTATGTCGGTTAAGGACCATCCGTTGCATTAGATTCTAGTCAGGTCACACACTTATTGTCCTGAACTCATACTTGTTTATGGGAGCAGGGAAGGCTCGTTGCTCTCTTGTCGTGGGTCTTGGCTCTTTCTAGACCGACTGATTGGAGGCGGGGATGGTGGAGGTCTAAGCACCACACTGAGTCTAGGACTCTAGTGTGGGGGCTTGGAGTCCAAGTTTGGACGGGGACCTGGACCCCTTGATAGGAGAGTAGTGGGTTGGTCCTGCTTGTGCCTGGGGTACAAGCGGGGCGTGTATTTTGGGGTATCCAGCTGGGCACATTGATTCATGAATCACCGGGTAATCCGGTACGACTTATCTATAATCTGGCACCGTAGTAAGAACTGGAAGATAAAAGATGGTAAAATGGTCCTGATTGCTTACCACCCGCTTGAAAGTAGCACATGTGCTTACATAGAATGGTTAGTTAATGAACTAATAATGACTGCTAATAAAATTGAATATAAGGACGCACGTTTAGTAATGCTCCTACAGATGTAATAAACCACAAGCCAGATAGCCTTGCATACCCTTAGAGTCTTTTCTTTCCTCCTAATAGGTAAGTCTTGCGGAGTACAATTGAGTATTCAGGGTTTTATTTCCCCCTATTGCAGGTGACAGGCGGATTCTAGAGCTGACTCTTATGTGTGGTTCCCTCTTGGTGGGCTCAGAGAGGATTCCTTTACGCTGCGATCATAGTTTCATTTATAACTCACACTAAATGTTTTTATAAATAGAAGTTTTATGATCTATTGTCATAGTTTATATATCAATGCTTCATCATGTCATGAATATATATTTATTTCTGCTATAACTCTGATCACATGTTTATATTCCGCTGTTAAATTAAATTGTTCATAACTTTGATAACATGGGTATATTCCGCTGTTATAATCAATAAATATTATACTCTGATGTTGCATGAAAAGTGATGTAAGAAATGACCTAAGAATGTTGTAAGCTTTATACTTTCATTTATGATCCTGATGAAAAATGTAGATTTTCGGATTCTCCCTTGGGGTGTGCTCGACAGAACTACGTAATTTAGTGTCCTCCCTTGAGTACTTAGTGTCTAATGGAAGACAAGTACTCCTGAGAGGCATTAGATTAGACGGTTTTGCCATAGGTGGTATCAGAGCATAAATGAGAAAATAAAGCTTCGGAATCTATTTCTAAATTAAAACTTGACAACAAATTATTTTCAGAAAGTTAGGACGTTGCATGCGAAGTTATACAAGTAGCCATATTACCATAGTTATGTATCTAGGATAGATGGCACTCTGCTGACTTAGCTAGGCATAATTAAATTTTCTGCAGGTACTCTAACCCCGAGCATAGTCCGATAGTATCGACTAGCTACAGGGAGAGAACAATGTGTCAAAAATCTAAGAATGGTTGTCCTATATGTTGGCAACATTAGAATGATGTATAGGACGTGCATTCATGCATATCCTATTTGTGCATTATAGAGCCCGTATTGTTTGTAGATATGCCATCCATAGGTGTCACGCGTGTCGTATTGTGCACGACTGACCCATCTTTGTTCCGGAGTTATTACTGCACTGTGACTTCGTGCTCCACGTTCGCCTATGGTTCACGTCTGTCGTGACCCACGTCTTCCCGTACTCTTTCCTGCGCTCTTGTCGGACCCTTGCCCGGCAGTCATACTGGTCATTAATGGCCTCGGACATCGCTCGCCTTGGATGCGCGGAAAAATTCGGTCGATTCGTTTGAAGTGGCCCGCGCAGGAACCTTGGTGGACTGCGCCAGGACCATTGACTGCTTTGCCATTATAAGTAGGGCCTAGGTTAGCTAGTGGTACCACCAGTTGGTGCACTTTAGCTTGTCTAGTCTTTTCTTTTGAGCAAGCTTTTCACTCAGTCCTTCCTTGCAACCACCGCCAGGGATGGCAGGAGCCTGGGTTAGTAGTTACTGCCTGAATGTTGAGGGTTTTCCTAGAATCATATATGCCACCCTGCAAAAGCTAGAGTCAAAGATCATCCGGAGTATGAGGGCCGTGAGTATGAAAAGCATGGCACTGAGAAGTGTGAAGTTACCGTCTATATTGGAAAGAGTGAAGAGTTCCCCGACATCACTAAAGCCTGGAATGTGACCTCAATCGGGTTTCACTTTGTCGACACCTATTAGATTATGGCCCGCAAAGTCTTGTGGTACCTTTGCCAGATCTATGAAGAGCCCATTGCTCGTACCCCCATGAGGTTCTTTCCACCTTTGGAAAAGAATCGACAGGCATAGAGGGCTCGCATGGAGGCTTTGCAAGGGTGGGATGCGTAAAAAGACAGTCCAGCCATGGTGCACTTGACCATGTACCTACTTGCTCTGGATAAGCAGTATGACCGGCAAGCCTCGGAGTTGAGGAAGTGCCTCCGACGAGCCGAGGAAGCCGAGATCTTTTCCAGGATGCTCCAGGTGCAGCTTGTCGAAGCACATGCCAGTGCGGTAGTCATAGAGAGTTGTGAGACTACCATGTTGGAAGTCCTAAAGGAGGCTGAAGATCGGCATGCCCATCAGTTGGGAGAGGCCTACCTTGTCACCAGGGCCAAGCAGACGACGCTGGCTGCTGAAAGGCAGAATTCCTCTATCTTGGAGGGAATCCCTGTCCACCCGTCGAAAAGAAGGAGAATCGATGTTGTAGTACCGCCAGCACCTCCACCCTCAGAAGTGTCAGAAGTAGAACCCTTGCTTCCCCTCTCTCAGCCACTGCCAAGAGATGAGGCAAATCCATAGCCAGGGCGGTAGGAAAATCCATCGAGCCCGGGAATGAAGATGTATGGTCCGGCAAAGTAGATTAGTTTCCTTGGGGAGATGTGACCGTAGTTAGTAGTGTCTTTCATCGCTATCCTCTAGTATTGTAATTTTTCCGTTGTATTTCATCCGTAGTTGTTGAGGTAGTCCGATCGTAGGGAAGGAGAACGATGTGTCTAAGGATGGGAGAGTGAGTGCCTATATGTTGTACCAGCATAAGGACGTTCGCAATGTGCATTGTATTTATTTCACTGTGTTTATTACATCCATTTACCCTTAAGTCTCGATTAGACGTGCTTAGGGTTTCAAGGGCGATGTTAAGTGGGTTACAAGAGAAGTTACCATTTGGATGCCAGCAGACCAGCCATGATTGGATAACATAGGACACTATATCGACTAATTGTGGATGTCCCAGCAGAACACTTAAATCTCTTTAAATCAAATCCATCATTGGATTTGAGTTCCTTGTCCCTTGTTGTGAAATGAACCCTTGTTGTTTGAATCTTCCCTTGTAATACTCCTCTTATTCTGTGGTTTAGGACCCCACCACCTTCATTGCGTGAAAGTTGGTAGTAGTTGCCTGGTTAATAGCTTATGGTGCTACGATGAAACCGAGAGCCCCTGTGGAACAGCTGCCGTATGGTGACGCTGCTCAGCACACGCTGGTATCGAGGTTATTGACCAAGTACCTTTACCAAGTTACACTACCATACCACTTTTGATACAAATATTCGGTGTTTGA